TGGGACTTCTACCTGTAAAATATATAAAACAGATTTGTAATAGTATTACTGGGATAAAGAGTAGATTGTCACATGCCATATAGGAGATTTGGGAGTATTCCTATTTTAAACTGGCTTTCTTTCCTCCACCTCTTTCAAATTCATTCCCTTTAAACATTTATTATGAGTAACATTTAGGACTACATTTTAAATTATAATCCAGTATTCACAGAGTTTCACAAAAACACTGACTACCTTCTCTGTGTGATGCACCCTGATATTTTCAATGCTATTCTAGTATTTTTTTTAAAGATCTTATTTATTTATTTGACAGAGAGACAGAGTAAGAGAGGGAACACAAGCAGGGGGAGTGGAAGAGGGAGAATCAGGTTTCCCGCTGAGCAGGGAGCCTGATGCAGGGCTAGATCCCAGGACCCTGGGATCATGACCTGAGCTGAAGGCAGATGCCTAATGACTGAGCCACCCAGCTGCCCTGCTATTCTAATTATTTTAAAAATGTTCATAGTGACCCACTAAATGTATTTCACAATCCATTAATAGGATATGACCTGCAGTTTGAAAAACACTCACTTAGTCCAACCAATGAGGAAGCTGAAGTGTGAGGAAATTGGCTTAAATTCATAAGAAAAGTGAGTTGTGATCATTTGCATAATTCTGTACAGGTCAATAATTGGTCTCTAGAATACAACTTTTCTGTAAAAGTATTATTTTTCTGTTTTAGTCTAAGTCATTATTGCTTGATTTTTTTACCCTCCTCGTTCTCTACTCCCTTCCCATTTTACTTAGGCGTTTCATACCCATTTTTTCTATTCATGCCTTGATACGTGGTTATATGGACACTTGTTTGAAATTTATGCTAAGTGAACTGGTATCTGGTACCAATACTGCCACCAGGTGAAAAAGCAAATGAAAGCTACATATATCAAGAAAGAGAATGAAGAAATACAAATAGGTCAACTTTATCTATCAACAGATGAAGAACAAAAATTTAGTGGACAAATATTTAAGCATCTTCTCTGGGATGGTCATTATACCTCTATGTCACCTACTGTTTTCTTCCTTCTGTTATATTTTTGTCCCCTCTCATGAGACTATAAGCAACTTGAAGAGAGAATCCACGCATACTTTGGCTTTGAATCTCCCATAGCATCTAGCACAGTATCTTAGAGATAACAAATACTTGATTAGAGATCAAGAAATACTTGCTGACTGAACAAGTCCCAACATACCATATACAAATAAAGAACTACCTTGGCTCTCTAACCTCTTCCTCTTTGCATCATAAAGTCAAAGCAAGCATCATTCTGAGTGCCTTTTATCTTTACCCCCAAACAAACAAACAATAAAATACTGGCATATTTTAACCAGGGATTATGTAAAATTTGGTCACATACCCCTGAAAGATGAAACAGCTGCACAACTGAACTGGTGCCTAAAACAGTAGTGTGAGAGCCAATATGCTTACTCAGATGAGACCACCAAAGAAGGTAAACATAACTTCATGACATTAAGTATCAAATATTTATTGAGAGGGCTACTACTTATGGGCTCAGTATTGTGCTGGGGGCTGGCTACAGTGGTGAGCAAGAAAGGATCTTGCCCTTAGGGAGCTTTCAGTCTATAGGAAAGACAAACAAGCGATAACAAGAAAGTGTACTAAGTGCAAAGATAGGAGAAATACCTAGAAGTGGCAGTGAAGCCAGATTTGGGAGAAGAGGGAGGGGTATGAAGGGGAGACTTACAGAGGGCTTCCTAGAGGAAGCACTACATTGAGACCTGAAGAATGAGGGAAAGATGGATAAGCAATATCTATGGAGGAAAAACCTGCGCCGAGAGTGTAATGGATAACTTCACTCTTATTTTAAAAGATAATCAGATGGAAAGCTGATTATTTCACAGAACTTTTTATCTTTTTTTGGACAGATAATTCTTAATTCCTAACATCCCTCCTCTAACCACAACTGGATCCAGTCTCCCAACATTGTAGACTGCTAAACTGGTCATTAACATTTTGTAGACTGCTGACCTGAGATTGTCAAAAAACTGCCTCAGAGCATAAAGTAACAAGAGATCAATTTGCTTCTCTGTTATTTTCTGCTGAAACTGTTAATGCACAGAGGTACCCAATGGACCATGCATATATAATAAAAAATAAATTTCTTTGGGGGGTGCTAATTTATAATTCTAATAATTGCCTATGGCATCTAGTAGGATCTTGTACCAAATGAGAATTCAATGACTCTATACCAATAAGGAGAACACTCCCAAAAATCCCACCAGGAAAAAAAAAATCCACCTTATTCTTTAAATGACTAATTCACAACTACAATAAAAACAAATTCTGCCCTAGACAAGATTTTAAAACTTTAAACTTTACAATTTTGTTATGCCTAATTCTCCTTATATAACAAAGTATAAAAAAGGAATTAAAAGAGGAAATTCACATGAAAATAAGCTTATAGATTATGAAGAAAAAGGCTGAGGCGTTGGCAAGGTCTATTTAATTACCAAGAAATAAATTTAGTTTTATATCGATGACAGTCAATATTATTTTTATTCATCCTTATTTCATTCTAATCAAAAGGTGCCATGGCACCCATATTGAGTTTTTTCCCCTCCCTCACAGATGCTATTATGCCATAGAGAGGTTTGTCTTGTTACACATCTGGGAGTCAGCTTGTACTTATCTAAACTTCATATACAATTAAATGTTCTCAGTACATACAGCTTTAGTTACAGATGAACAAATTTCCAGGAAACCCCATTAGGTGTTTCACTATTTACTCTACACCAACAACGGCAGCTGGTATATTTTTGGCCATAGTGAGCACTGCTTTCATTGTGCATAACCAACCAGACTTCTCCCCTTAGTTTCTCACCACACTGCAAGTCAAATTTTAATTTAATTTTTTTGATGTCTTATCACAGATTAAGACTACTCCTTCAGAGTTAAAATTGTATTTTTAAAGGAGAAAGGCTATCTAAAAATCTCAAAAACCTTTAAGTACACCATCACCATTCACTGAGCTCACTATTTTAAGTATCTCCTTTATAATCTTATACTGCAGAAAACTGAACATTTCCCTCCAACCCTCCTATCTTCGGCTATCACCTAATAAGAATGGCTAGGTTGCCAATGACCCACACAGGTATGGTTAATTCAAGATTCCAACTGCAATTTCCAAAATTAGAGTACTCACAATACCTGCTGTTTTAAACACTCAAACTTCCTAGTTTCACAGTTACATCAAAGTTGAGACTGGTCTTGGCTAGAAAGTTCCAATTTCATTTTTTCAATTTCTGATTAAATAAAAAACAAACAAACCTGTTTTTCACTGGAGTGAACAAATCAATGATATCCTACCGAGTTTCTGCTAGGCAGAGCACAGCTGCGGGGTTGCTACAGCAACTCTTGTACACTGACCACAGATTGCCCCTGTCCAGGAAGGAAATCATTTGCTCCACCCCCTGAGGAGTCAAAGGCTCTGGCAAGCAGCAGTCTGCGAGCAGGACACGTTTTTAGTTCAGTAGCTGTGATGGAGCAACAAGAGACAATTCTTTAGTGTCTCTCCACACTAACTGTTACCCAACAACCAAAACTGACTCTAAACCAAGTTGCTGTGTGTGACTGTGTATTTCTGCACCATGGTAAGACCATACTCTTCCCCCGCCTCATGAGAAACCTGAACTAGGGAACAAGCCAAAACAATTTCCTCCCAGACACACAGGCAAAAAACAAAAAAAAAAAACAACAACCCAAAAAACCAAACCCAAGTAATTAGAATATTCCCATTTTTATGAAGAATACATTTCGGTTCTTGCTTTCAGGCTTTAACCCATGCAAACTCAGGTTCTCTGACAACTTTTGGTGGGGGAAGGCAGTCAGATTTAACATTTATTGAGTTTTTACTCAATGCCAACCCTTCTGCCGGGTGCTTTGACGTGTTATTTCATTTACTCCTCACAACAACGCTATGAGGTAGGTAACAATATAATCCCTACTTAACAAATAAGAAATGGAGACTCTGAAGTTATTTGATTGTCCAAGCTACTAAAGGGTGGAGTCACAACTTGAACCCAAGTCTCCTAATTCTGAAGTCTTACGGTTTTTCTCCTATACTACTCCGATCTTCCAAGAAAATTCTCAACTCTTAACTGAAATATTCACTTTCCTAAAATGACTTTTTGTTTTAGCAATACATTTTTGCAGGTAATGACTTCACTACTGATAAACTAAATATAGTCAGCCACCTTCCTAAATGCATAGAAAACAAAGGCCCAGAAGAATATCAGGCTGCAATATGATCCTGGTGAGTTTTTTGCTAAGTTTAAACTACAGCACTCACATTCTTGAGGAGGAAAGGCAAAGCCGAAAAGTAGGTAAGGTGATGAAAATGAATTTAGATGAAGCGCTCTGTGCAACATCTCTGGGGCTGAAGAAGCTGTAGAAGGAGAGGGAATAAGAGTGGGTGAAGGACACAAGCAGTACTTAAACCAGAGAGAATCTTTCATCTCTATCGTAAGTTACTTTCAAGGATAATTCCAAGTATCCATCTGCCCATTTTCAGTCATTTCCCCACTTCGGGTTTGGAAAGGTCCTCTAACATAACATCTCTTCTCTCAGTGAGAATGAATCACAGTTTTCTTCTTCCCTCACCAGAAGTTCCACAATTACCCCCTTTCTCCTACATACTGTTGGGGATTTTCCTAGGAGGATTGTCTTTAACATAATTGCTTTTCCTAGCTCCCCCAGATCTTGCCCTGAAAATTCCTTCATACCTGTAGCTTGATTACTCCCCCAGCTGTAGATAAATATACTTCGAACTCTGTCCCTTTGGAAACACCATCTCTTAAACTGCTACCCTAGCTTCTGAGTTCCTCCCTTCTACTATGCCTTTTCTGTCAGTCTTCTATTTCTACTTCAGTTGAGGACTTCAATTCTCTAGTTGCCCCAAAGGATTTCAGTGAAAAACCAAAAAAGTTCAAAAGAGTCATACCAGTTTCCATAGGTTTCTTAAAAGATAGGTCAACAAGTGTAAATTTATTATAAAGTATACATAAACAAAGAAATTGCTTATGACGTCACTGATTTAAAAATATTTTAAAAAGTATCATATTCCTCTGAATTTTTACTGGATAGGTAATAATAAGATGTCCAATTTATTTTTCCTATACTTTGCTATAAAAGTGGGTACTGGATATTCACATTCTCAATTTATACTGATGAATATATATATAATGCAAAGACTAAAACTCATCAAAAGTTATAGTTATAAAGGAATAAGATAAGTCACTCATGTTTAAAAGCAGCCCTGGATTTGTAAAAGAGAACAGGAATTGCAGAAAAAGGCTTCTGTACTTGAGTTACTATCATCTAAAAATTAAGTAACTACGAGTTCCTATTTGAAATTGTCACATAAAAACTCGGGCTAAAGGCCTCTTTACAGAGCTCTTAAATGTCCAAAAATGAAAAACATTTCATAGCTCTAAAATAAGATAGGGAGGAAGCACCATGAAAGGTAAAAGACCTTTCATTACTGTGTTCATTTTACATTGGTTCTTAAGGTTACAAGCCTACTAAATGAAAAAGTGGAATGGTACTTGCATCTCAAAATTTAACTCAATTTTAAATATCACCAATCCACTATAATTTCTTAGACTTAGCTTAAGAGATCTGCAAAGTGAACAATGTGTCTAAAACATGAACAGATTAGGTATTTCAGTCAGTAAGAGAAAAAACGCAGTCATTCATTTTGACTCTTAGGAGGTCATTAGGCATTAATTTAAAAATACTACAACTTGACACATTATAGGGACTAGAAACATAACTCAGAATTTCATAAAGGTATATTAAAACCACTTTAGACAATTCAAGATCTCACTGACAGAGTTCATTTAAGGTGACAGTTTGACTATTGTGTTACTGTTCCCACATGATATCATCTCTTCTCAATTTCATTTGAAGATTATGGACTTGTACTGGATGAAAATTGCTGTTCTTCTGAAGAGAGTTAGTTAGCAAACATTTTCTGGGACTATTTTTTATGTTCTTTGATCCTTTAAGGTTGCTCTCTTCTCGCTGAATACCCGAAGCTTCACTCATCTTTGAGTTTTGAACTTTTTGCTGCAGTTTACGGACCTGGAAAGAAAAAACATCTAACATTTTAGTAAAAAAAGATATTAAAAGCATACCCTAAAATAGATGGATTGGATTGATGTTATAAAGATTACATGAAATTTAAAAAGTTCATTAAGTCTTTATTGAATACCTGTATATGCCTAACGCCATGCTAATTAGGTAAAAATATCATGAATAAAACAATCCTTGCTCTCATAAAGCTTATTGCTCTTATTAGTGAAAGAAAAGCATATACGTGACAACTAGAGAATAATTTAGGCTGCGATAACTGAGTAGGACAAAAGGTGTTTATTTGAGAAGACTAAAGCAGGACAAGATTAATATGGGCTGAGAAGATCAATGAAAAGCTGAGAGGAAGATTTATAAAGGATATGAAATGAGTAAAAACTGAAGAATAGAGACAAGAGAAAAAGGACCTTTCAGGTGGTATTAACAGAAAAGCAAAGATCTGGTGCTAGGAATGAGCAATGAATTTATAGAGTTGAATGTGTATATATATATTTTACTGAAAAGTATTCCTGAATTTAAAGTACTACTGAATGCCAGTACAAAAAAAAAAGTTTCATTCAGTAGTATCTGATAACAGTTGGGTAGAAAGAATTAAACAAAATAAAACCTATCAACTTGCCAAAACCCATTTCTGCCAAGCTTAGTCCATTACTTAGTCTATTTCACTTATGCATAGGCCTAATTTGTAGAGCTGATCCAGACATTGGCTAAGAACCTGGTATTTGTCCAAGGCCATTTTAATTGCAGAGATTAAATTTATCATGATAAAATGCTTGAAAATTTATACTGCTATGGTTATTACAGAACATAAATAATATTTTTCAAAATATAATTTATGTGCATTAAAAATATGGCTGAAAATTTCTCTATTCCCTTCAAATTTCTCCTATGCAATTCTAAGGAAGTGTATAAGTTAAATAATCTTCACCCTAACACAATCATACAAAAAAATTTACTTACTAGAGCCTTAAAAGCCAGTAAAGTGAAAATATTTGCTTCAAAAGTTTCATTTCCTCTTTTTCTCTTTATTGGTCACAGAAGAATAAAGGCAGTAAAATTCTGAATCCTTTATTACTTTCCTATAAAAGTGGGGAAGGCTTTATTGTGAGGTTAATATATCACCAACTTATATGAATGCTGATTATTCCATAGGCAGATAGCTACATGATGTGATTTGAAGGTTCCTGGAAAGACTCCCTCTGCCTTCTGCTCTAGCAGTCTAATAGTGCTAATTATTCAACCTATGGAATCATTGTCTTGGAATAAAATATTATAATATTCCATGATTCTTCTGTTAAAATATCAAAATTGTTATGTGATTCTTAGTTATTAAGAATTCACAAGCAACGAGAGAGTCCCCCTTACCACCACACTATAGCCAGCTAAGCACAGGTCCCCAGGGAATAGAACACAGCATAGCTTGTTCTGGGAAAGTAGAAATAGTAGTTTTAGCATTACAGTACTGCTTGAGGAGCCAGGTTTATGTACGGTACTGAAGTAGAGGCCTGTCAACAAAAGCGACTTCATTAAAGGATTAGGGGTGGGAGAGATAAAGGGAGAGAATGTTAAAAGGGTAACCAGGAGGGCTGTCTACCTCAAAATTTTCCCAAGGCCATTTCCGAATACATAACTAAACTTTCTTGTTCCTCTTACTTTACATTATCTTGGAGAGTTATGTAGGAGGCAATGTTATTCCAGTGGGACAGATGGCTCTTTAACAGGCCTAAGGGACTCCTGTCATCTTTTCACTAAGCCACACATACAGACCTTAAATTTGAAAGATCATACAGAGATATAACACTGACTCCAGATATATCTTTTTATTAAAATCTTTTACTAAAGCCTTCTTACATTGTCTTGATGCTTCAACAGTTTGGAAATTTGTTCTCCTTTAATTTCCATTTTCTTGACTAAATGTTCTAGTTCACATTCTATGTCTTCACAGACCAAATGACTTTCAGTTTCCTTCATTTGATTCAGTAGTTCTTCATGCTCCCTATGAAAGAAAAGCAAATATCAAGCACTGTTATGGTTTATACTATATATCTTTGATAGAATTAAATAATATTCTGTTCAATCATAAATTTTTGTCACTTAAATATTAATTTTCAAAGACAGTCTCTTTATGTACAGTTATCTAATTAATCTATGGTAAATATAAAAGGCTCTTATGATTTGAGATTAGATAAATTTAGAAATAACTTAGACTTAGGGTCTTAAAACACCTTAAAATAAAGTCTGAATTCTTGATGTTCATAGGTAAATGTAATAAAATATTCTGATGTCCTTAGCTAAAAGCATTAAAGGACTCTTTTTAGTTCCAACTTTGGAATTCTTAATATAGGGTGTTTGGGAAGAACTGCACCTATAAAAATATTTGCCCAAGAAATCTCTATTTGGTGATAGCCCACTTTAAGGAATACTGTTAAGAGAACCAGCTGTATCTTCTACAGATGTCCTAGTTCAACTAGTTGGCTACCCAAATCTCATATTTTCTGGAATTTTTGTTGAATATATATTTAAACTTGGGGCTTAAAATATGTATCCCACTCAGAATCTTATTTACTATGGATGCTTCAAAACTTATAATGCAGACCAGCCAGAGTTTAAAACAAAGAAATTTCCTACTTGTCTAATGAAATTTCACTTAATTAAAAAAATTATAAAAAACAAAAGGAGAATCTTTCTTATAAAAACATTTGTGAGTTATAATTTAAGGTCACCAGACTATATCTGTTAGAATGACAGTAGTATTTGTCTATCAGGTCAGATCTTGGGAGCACAGAAACTCCTTAGATCGGAAAAGTAGTAATTACACACAGTTGAAAACTTAAATACTATCAATAAATACAGTGAAATATCAGTGAAAACAACTCTGCAGATCAAAATAAATCCAAATCTAAGCAAGGCCTTTAAGAATTCATGAGTGGCATTGTTCTTAAGACAGAAGAAAAAAAGATACCTATATATCTTACTAGTTCTGATAAAGAATGAAAATACTTACATACTCATTTGGTCCAGTTCATCCTGCATTGCCATCAAAAGTTCAGACAAATTGTCACCAATAGAAATGGAATTTTTTGAATCAGAAGGTTCAGCTTTACCCTGGGAAGTTGTTCTAGTAGGCTTGCAGAGACATCGAGGCTCAGTAACTTCAGTAAGTTTCTGACAGTTATGTGGCCCATAATGTTGCATCAACTGCAGGAGGCTTTGCATACTTGCATTCACAGGATAGTTTGCACTGGAGGACTTTAGGGGAAAAGAAATAGCTAAGAACAATTTCAAATGACTCATGGCATTTAAATTGCACTTACAACAAGGCAGGAGTGTGTCTGAACAAGTATCTTCATTTTTCCTTTCTCACCTTCTCAGCCACAACAGGCAGTGATCCAAACTCTGAATGAATTTGCTGAGGTGGTCCTCCCTTTAAACATCTAGTTTTCTAAATATTGACCAAAAAACGTAAACAAAAATTGTTTTAAAAGACATTTATGATATGAAGAAGTCTCAAAATTCAACAGTAAACAATCTGATTAGAAAACAAGCAAAAAAAATGTGGGTAGACATTTCACTGAAGAGGTCATATAGATGGCAATAAACACATAAAAAGATCTGCAACATCATTAGCCATTAGGAAAATGCAAGTTACAATGAAATATCACTATATACCTATCCGAATGGCCAAAATAAAGAACAGTGACAATACCAAATGCTGGCAAAGAGGTGGAGAAGCCAGATCACTCATGCATGGTTTGTAGGAATACAAAATAATTTGACAGTTTCTTGTAAAACTAAACATGAACTTATATGGTAAGTACATATGATGATTCAGCAATTACACTCTTGGACATTTATCCCAGGGAAATGAAAACCAATGTTCACACAAAAACCTACACACAAATGTTCATAACAGCTTTATTTGTGATAGTAAAAAATGAAATGAATCCAAATCTCCTTCAACAGGATCCAGCAAATACCAACACATTCTTTTATTTCTGTGTAGTATTTCATCTTATGGATGTACTACAGCTTAATCACTGATAGTAAAGCAAGATGAGCTGGACCAAATGAGTATGTAAGTACTTTCATTCTTTATCAAAAGAAGTAGCAAGATATATAGGTATCTTTTTTCTTCTCAGTCTTAAGAATAATGCCACTTATGAATTCTTAAAGGCCTTGCTTTAGATTTGGATTTATTTTGATCTGCAGAGTTGTTGTTACTGATTTTTCACTTTTTTTTTTTTTTTTTTTTACAGAGAGAGACAAACCGAGAGGGGGAACACAAGCAGGGGGAGTGGGAGAGGGAGAAGCAGGCTTCCCACTGAGCAGGGAGCCCGATGTGGGGCTCGATCCCAGGACCCTGGGATCATGACCTGAGCCGAAGGCAGACACTTAACAACTGAGCCACCCAGGTGCCCCTTTCCACTGTATTTATTGATAGTATTTAAGTTTTCAACTGTGTGTAATTACTACTTTTCCGATCAAAGGAGTTTCTGTGTTCCGAAGATCTAACTGATAGATAAATACTACTGTCATTCTAACAGATAAGGTCTGGTAACCTTAAGTTATAAAAAACTGCTTCTAGGATCTATTGTGTTGTTATCATCTGTTGTGTCATTTAGTGTCTCTTTTATAAAATATTGCAGAATACATTTCTATAAGAGTTTAGTACTAGGGGTAGCTTGAGGGAGGCCCTGACCCTCTGTGCCTGTGTTTGGCAGAGCTGGTGTGAGGCGAAGAGACAGTCCTTCCCTGTGCAGCCTTTGAGCACACACTGAGAGAGTGAGGAGCCAAATGAAAAGGACAGGTCATGGCATTGAAATGGATTAAAAAGGAACTTAGTGATTTGGCCCATAACCCTCCAGCACAATATTTTGCAAGTCCAGTTGGGGATGATATCTTTCATTAGCAAGCCACAGTTATGGAACCTAATGGCAGCCCACATCAAGGTGGTGTATTATTTTTGACGATTCATTTTCATATAGTCTACTTCAAACCACCTGAGGCTGCATTTACAACAAGAATTTATCTGCCAAATATTAACAGTAATGGTAGCATTTGTCTTGATATTCTAAGATCACAGTGATCTGTTGCTTTAACTATTTCTAAAATTCTTTTATCCATTTTTTCACTGCTATGTGACCCCCTAGCGCCAGAGATTGCACAGGTCTATAAAACAGACAGAGATAAGTACAACAGAGTATCTTGGAAATGGACTCAGAAGTATGTCATGTGATGCTACTGTAAGGTCACAATAACCTGCATTATAGCTGGAATAAAATTTAAATTACTGTTCCTTTTTTAATTTTCTTACCAGACTGCTGCTCCCTTATCAAACTAAAATAAAATTTTATTTTTTGTTTATTTCCCTCCATTCATTCACATGTTCATCTGACAAAGACTTAACTTCTTCCAGTTTTGGACAATAACTGCTTTTAAAAACTACAAGGTATTTATAAAAGTATAGTTGCCCAAGATTCAGAATTTTTTAAAAAGATTTTATTTATTTATTTATTTTAGAGGGGGCTGTGCAGAGGGAGAGGGAGAGAATCTCAAGCAGACTGTACCAAGCGCTGAACCCAATGCGGGGCTCCATTCCACGACCCTGAGATCACGACCTGAGATGAAATCAAGAGTCTGATGCTCAACCGACTGAGACACCCAGGCACCCCAAGATTCAGAATTTTTTAAAAAATGGAGCATGTGTATTATGTGGCCAGTGTCTTCACTCTAACTTGGTTATGAGACTAAAACCATTTCTCACTGCTCTAACATGCTGAAGAAATCATCTGAGGGGGACTGAGATGGATGCTCAGTTGTCACAACAAAGGAAGCAAGATTATTCAAGCATCCATTCTTTCTTAAGCCTTCCACTGAGAGAGATCTGAGTTATATGATACACTTTATGCTCATAACTGATATGACTGGAGAATTGGTGTTAATTTATAGCATCAGCAGAACAGAATCTATGATGTATTTTATGCATGTTAATAAAGGAATGATATGTTCTTGTTCTACAGAGAATGGAAACTGGAAGTCAAATACCCTTTGCATTCCAAAACAGGGTCTCAAATATTTTTTTAATTTTCATTTAAATTTAAATTATTAGAAGGCTCGGAGCTCATAGTTAATCTATCTTCAATACACTGTTTAATGTACAAATGATGCAAGTTGTCAATGCATAAGTGATCAACTAAGAGCTCTGCTAATAACTTATATATTTTTCTTGCAATAAAGTTGCACAAATCGAAAAAAAAAGAGTTTAGTACTAGGAAAATGTCTATCTTTCTAGAAAAATTGGCATGCTTATTGTTATTTCACAAATATACTGACTGTCATGTGGTCCTTTTTGCTTTGGTTGTCAAGTAAACTCAAAATTAGTTTTTGTGCTCAACTGCTGATACTTTCTTTAACCTGGATTTTATGGAATTTTCTATCCTCAAACCTAAAACCATCAGCATTCAACTTATGTTTTTATCAGCATTTCATAGCATTATTGCATGTCTTTTATTATAAATCTCTCTAAATTCTTTTTGGAAATGGATAGGTATAAATATTAAAAGAGTAAAGAAATAAGCATTAGCAAATAAGAATAAAGTATCTGCATACCTTCAAAGACTTCTTCTTCTTCTCCTTGCAGTGTTTTGGATTTGATACTGAAGACATTAAAATTCTATTGATTTCAAGTCCAGTTTGAAGCTATAATATTAAAGAAAAAGCTTTATGCAACTGATTTTTAACAAACTTCTTCAAAAACATTATAATAAGAAATCAGGTCTCAGTTTATGAAGACAAAAATGCTTGGGGCGCCTGGGTGGCTCAGTTGGTTGAGTGCCCGGCTTAGGTCATGATCCTCAGGGTCATGAGATCGAGCACCATGTCAGGCTCTGTGCTCAGTACTGAGCCTGCTTGAGATTCTCTGTCTCTGCCCCCTCCCCCCACTCATGCTCTCTCTCTCTCTCTAAGATAAATAAACAAAATCTTTTTTAAAAAGTGCTTTTTGAGGAAGAAAAGAAAACCCCAGGGCGCCTGGGTGGCTCAGTCCGTTAAGGTTAAGTGTCTACCCTCGGCTCAAGTCATGATCCCAAGGTCATGGGATCGAGTCCCACATCAGGCTCCCTGCTCAGCAGGGAGTCTGCTCCTCCCTCCCACCTCTCATGTTCTCTCTCCCTCTCACTCTCTCTCTCTGAAATAAATACATAAAATCTTAAAAAAAAGAAAACCCTAAATACTGTTTTTTGTATGTGAAAGCCCAACTAAGTCTATTGGTAATTGCAATCATTTTCTGTTTATAAGAGAATGCATTATTTAATACATACATATCAATCAAACTGAAAACAATCTAGACCAGGAATTATTTCATATACATATATGTCAGAATTTCAAAAGACTACAAGACTTCTTTTGGCAGTGCATCCAAGTATATAAATATACTGGCTGACTTATTGAGAATCTCATTATTATAGCAAAAAGAGACCAAAACTAACAAGCTAGGAAGCAGAAATTATAGTCTAAAATATAGCCTACAGATAATGAAAACAAATTATAATAAAACATATATGGTTTGGGGCGCCTGGGTGGCTCAGTCGTTAAGCGTCTGCCTTCGGCTCAGGTCATGATCCCAGGGTCCTGGGATGGAGTCCCACATCGGGCTCCCTGCTCGGCAGGAAGCCTGCTTCTCCCTCTCCCACTCCCCCTGCTTGTGTTCCTGCTCTCGCTGTCTCTCTCTCTGTCAAATAAATAAATAAAATCTTTAAAAAAAACCAAAACATATGGTTTATTGTGATAATGATATAATGCTCTATTTACTTCAGATGCTTTGTCTTGAAATAGCTTACGCTGATGTTCTTCTTCCTTAAGTTTTTCCTCTAAATGTTTAATCTTGTCCTGCAAAAGAACAAAAAAACTGGGATTATTATATAAAAACTAGAGCCAAATAGTCTTTGTTCTTTTTCCACATAGAGTCTTCGAGTCTTGATTCTTAGTAGTTCAGCAAGCTAAAGCAGAAAGTAAGAAAAAGAAATGGCAAAAGATGCTACAATTTTTCTTGGCTTTCTTCCTATGCTTCTTTACCTGCTATTACATGTAAGAAGAACAAAGGGAAAGCAAACAATGTGCATGCAAAGACATTATTAACTTCTAGCAACAAAACCGTAATGATGAAATTTTGGGGGGTATTAAATCTAAAAGGTCAAATGATCATAGTCTTGGGTCTTAATGTTTCATTCAAAACACAGACAAATCACAATGTCTACTGTGTGCATATTATTAAGGGTACAGCTGTTGGAGGAGGGAAGGGAGAGGAAGACATATTAGAAATATAAGATATAGGAGCGCACGGGTGGCTCAGTCGTTAAGCGTCTGCCTTCGGCTCAGGTCGTGATCTCAGGGTCCTGGGATCGAGCCCTGCATTGGGCTCCTTGCTCCACGGGAAGCCTGCTTCTCCCTCTCCCACTACCCCTGCTTGTGTTCCCTCTCTCTGTGTCTCTCTCTGTCAAATAAATAAATAAAATCTTAATAAAAAAAAAAAGAAACATGAGATATAGACTAAATCAAAATAAAAAGCTTCTGCACGGTGAAGGAAACAATCAACAAAACTAAAAGGCAACCTACAGAATGAAAGAAAATATTTCCAAATGACATATCTGATAAAGGGTTAGTATCCAAAATAATATAAGGAACTTATGCAACTCAACACCCCCAAAACAAATAATCCAATTGAAAAAGGGGCAGAAGACATGGGTAGACATTTTTCCAAAGAAGACATCCTGATGGCCAACAGACACATGAAAAGATGCTCAACATCACTGATCATCAGGGACACACAAATCAAAACTACAATGAGATATCACTTCATACCTGTCAAAATGGCTAAAATCAACAACATGAGAAACAACAGATGTTGGCGAGGATGGGGATGGCGAGAAAGGGGAACCCTTGTGCACTGTTGGTGGGAATACAAACTGGTGTAGCCACTGTGGATATCAGTACAGAAGTTCCTCAAAAAGTTTAAAATAGAAGTACCCTACGATCCAGCAATCACACAACTAGGTTATTTACCCAAAGGAAACAAAAATACTCATTTAAAGGAATACATGCACCCTGATGTTTATAGCAATATTATCTACAATAGCCAAACTCTGGAAACAGCTCAAGTGTCCATCGACTGATGAACAGATAAAGATGTGTGTGTGTGTATATATATATATATATATCTCCACGTATATGTATATATTTATATGTATGTATGTATATATATGTATGTACATATATAAATATGTATATATAAATATATTTAAAATATATAGATATATATAAATATATCTATTTATTCAATGAACCATTACTTGGCCATAAAAAAGAATGAAATCTTGCCATTTGCAATGACATGGATAGAATAAGAAAGTTTTAAATACCAAAGGACAAATACACTAGAAGGTAACGTGAGAAAAGGTGGCAACGATTTTTGCAAGACAGAAAAGTAGATGGGTGACTTCCAACCTTACTTTGCAAGGCAGAAAAAGCTGAAATTTCACTAGAGAGTATAATGCTAAGCAAAATAAGTCAGCCAGAGCAACACAAATACCATATGATTTCACTCATATGTGGAATTTAAGAGACAAATGAGCAAAGGGGAAAAAGAGAGAGACAGATCAAGAAACAGACTCTTAACTATAGAGAAAAAACTGATGGTTACCAGAAGGGAGGTGGGTGGGGGGATGAGTTAAATAGGTGATGGGGATTAAGGAGTGCATTTGTTGTGATGAGCACCAGATGATGCATGGAACTTTGAAATCACTATATTATACACATGAGACTAATATTACACTGTATGTTAACTGGAATTTATTCATTTATGTATGTATGTATGTATGTTATGTTAGTCACCATACAGTACATCGTTAGTTTTTGATGTAGTGTTCCATGATTCATTGTTTGTGTAAAACACCCAGTGCTCCATGCAATTCCTTAATACCCATAACTGGGTCAAACACACCCCCTCACCCCTTCCCCCTCTAAAACCCTCAGTTTGTTTCCCGGAGTCCATAGTCTCTCATGGTTCGTCTCCTCCTCTAATTCCCTCCCTTTATTTTTCCCTTCCTTCTCCTAATGTCCTCCATGCTATTCCTTATGTTCCACAAATAAGTGAAACCATATGATAATTGACTTTCTCTGCTT